CATAGTAGTAGTAGTAGTAGTAGTAGTAGTAGTAGTAGTAGTAGTAGTAGTAGTAGTAGTAGTAGTAGTAGTAGTAGTAGTAGTAGTAGTACATTAAAATTTATTATTTATTATTGTTGAAATCATTCGTCACCCTTGCTAGGGTCCTTCTTGCCGTATCCAAATACAATCGAAAATGACGGCCACCTACTGTCTAGTAGAAACGTGGCCTTTTTAGACAGGTGGCCGCCTTACACTGTCATTTTATTTCAAACAAAACCGCAAAGGGGAAAGGGGGAGGTGGCTGTTTGTACAGGTGGTTGTCTTATACAGGTGGCCGTTAAAGCAGGTTCGAATGAGTTATCTTAACGCTTCCTCTTCTCCTTGCACTCAATGTTCATACATTAAGTGGTCTATGTGGGTGGCTAGCGGGTGCTCTGGCGGTGTTTGTTCCGCTCTTTCCTATCAAACATCAGTCATCCTTATCTGTCCTCCTTTTTTGTGTTTATTACTTGTTTGCATTACTTGTAACACCTGTATTCTTCAGCACTTATATGACACAATTGTATTGTAAGGGCCGTAAAACGTTTGCAAAAACAAAAACATAAGTGGTCTAGATATACGTGTTATGATAGTACATGTATTACTGTGACTCATGACTGGCAGAATAATACCAGAAGTGCTGGAGGGTGCCACTACAAAGTAAGCAAACATAGTAATAGTAATGTCTACTTCTTTACTATCCTCCAATTTACAGAATGCGCATCTGTCTTGCTTTACTTTCCCAACCACACTTCGTGACCCTCACAACGTGGGTGTGTTACTGTTGCTTCAACTCGAGCGGGAGTAAAGGAAAAGTATCAATGGTCCAGAGATACACGAGTTTGTCCGTTTACTAAGACCTTAATCTCACAGCCTTCATGGGGATATGAGCCCAGTGGACTTTGTTTGTAAGACTGTCTAGACCTGGACTGCCTTGGATGGCCTAGCCAAGCTCTCGTGACGATATGTGGCCATGTTGGGGGTAGTCAGTGTAAATAAAAGATCTTCCTACGCCGTCACTTATACATATTATCCCATTATTCAGTTTGCACTTAGGACAAATTCGACTGTGGGAGAAAGGGTATCGTATGAGAGAAAGAACGAGTGGAGAGAGAGGGGGGCGAGGGGAGAGAGAGGGTGAGAAAGAGAGAGAGAGAAAGAAAAAGAGAGAGAGAGATGGGGGGAGGGAGAGAGGGGGAGAGAGGGAGAGAGAGAGAGAGAGAGAGAGAGAGAGAGAGAGAGTGTGTGTGTGTGTGTGTGTGTGTGTGTGTATGTGTATTGGGGGTTTGAGGGGGGGGGGAGAACATAGAGAAGGGGAAGGGGGAGAAACTTAAGCTGGATTGAGAGTAAGGGATAAGAGTGTAGGGAGAGAGGATGTAGACGGAGAATGAGAGACAGGAGGAAGGTCCAGGAGAACCCTGAAAACGGGTGTCTTCTTATTCTACGTGGATACAGGCAAAGTGGGCCCACACGTATATTATCATGTTTTGGAATTAGAAAAGGACAATTGATACAGGAGCAATCTTTAGACCTACATCATCATCATCACCCTGGATCAGGGTATAGACCAGGACCATTTCCTCCTTTCCCTGTCCTGGGCTAGCCTCTTGATATCATGGCCTGTCTTCCCATTTTTCTGTTCAGCATTCTCTGCTGCTATTTCCATGTTATTCCATGTGGCCTTCCCCTTGATCTCTTACCATGTGGATTCTAATCCAACACTTTCTTTGTAATGCAGCCGCCTGGCTTCATGAGAGTATGCCCCATACATGTATATATATATATACAGTACCCTAAAACAAATGCAAGACACTTCCAAAAGTAGTCTGTCCCCGTGGTTTTATGCACATCGCATAATTTAGCAAAATTTTGATCATTTTTTTTGCACAATTTCTTATTATTTTCCTTCATTATACTTCGTTAAAATTAACAGAATCGCATGATTTCACATTTGGGGGCTCAGTTTGTATAATTTAATTTATTTATTTTTTGGGTGCATTTAATAAAAACCAATGAGACAGTGTAATGCACTTTTAAAGCCATTTTTGGGAGTCACAATAACGTTCTCAAAACTGCAGAGAGTAGGGATGAACCAAGGAATAAACTCCTTGGGATGAACCCTTTCATTTTATGAGGTCAGAGTTCAGGGGTCATGATATGCTCATGAACTCGTTAATGAGCTCGTACAAAGTCTGCGTTTCCTCGGGGCTGGGCTCGTAGGCCGTGACGGTACCATCGTCTTCTATCAGGACTCCGGGGACGTAGGTGTTGGCGCTGTCCTGGGGAATAGAGAGGGAAACAGACAGAAAGAGAGAGAGAGTGTGCGTGTGTGTGTGTGTGTGTGTGTGTGTGTGTGTGTGTGAGAGAGAGAGAGAGAGAGAGAGAGAGAGAGAGAGAGAGAGAGAGAGAGAGAGAAAGAGAGATGGGGCGGGAGGAAGATAGAGGGAGAGAGAGAGGGGGAAGAGGGAGAGGGGGTAGAGAGAGAGAGAGAATTGGGGGGGGGGGACAGGGAAGGTCCTTAATGGAGGCGAGCTTAGACGCACGCTCAGGTTCACTATGAAACAAACAATTTGATTAAATTTGGAACCAATTGAAAGGCAAAAAAAAGGGGGGGGCGAGGTTACCGGCCATGCGCACTCGATTGTTTTATATGCGAATCTGATGTTTTGCCTTTCATTTTGGGAGCCCATAATGCACGCACTTCGCAGCGAAATATGTACCGTATAGAGAGTACGAAGCGACACCGTGCAAGGGCTAGAATATTAAAATTCAAAATTCTATTGGAGGGGGGGGGGGGACTATTTTAAATGCTCAAAATTAAAAGATCTGTTGTCGTCGTTGATCTCAATAGAATTCTCTATTTTACAAAGGCCATCGGCTTCTGTTGTTTTTCGGATGAAAATTTTACCACAAACGTTTTAAACCACTTAAACTGATCACTGACCAAACCAAGCGTGCTATGAATTATTGTGAATTCAACCAACTTGTGTTTCCAGCGCCCATGTGATCTTTATTCTTATGCTGTTGCGAGCGCCGTGAAACTCTTACTAAACAAACAAACTCACAAAAGTACCTGAATGAGTTTGGATGGGTTCGTGTACTTGTACAGACTCTTGATGCACGGACATAGAAGGCAGCACGGACTTCCGGTGCCGAAAGCCACGACGCATGCGCGAGGGTCTGAGGCGAAGCAGCCAATGATGATCAAGAACAGTAGCACCCCTAGGAGCGTGTATCCGGCGTAATGTAAGAGTTCTCTCACCATCTCCTCGTCCGCTTTGTGGCGGTCATCTTCCGTGATGACCTGCAGCAGACAGCAACACACTTTATGGGACCACGTGCGAAGCTATGCACTAACTAAGAACTAAAAAGTATGTCTTTTCAATGCCCTCCCCCCCCCCCCCCCCCCCAACCTCCAAATAGGCATTTTAGAATATTTAGGAGGCGGACTGCTTTGATCTTACCCATCCTCCCCTTTGAAAGTATCAGTTAATTATTTTATAGCACCACCCAAAAATCGTGTATGTACATGCTAGGAAGGGGGTTGGGGGGGGGGGGGGGGTTGTCAGTTATTTTAAAGGAAGTTCTCCATTTGGCATCAACTAGTCATTACTTGTATTGTTGTACATCCCAAAGCTTGCAACATGAATTGTCATCCACAAATTCATTATAGCTCATCTTTAAATATCCGATCAGAATAAAAAATCTTATGTTGAGATAATAAAAGCAATCAAGCGACCGCAAAGGTAAATTGGGCTTTAATTAAAAATAAAAACCTTTTTCAGAGACATCGGAATGGTGCACCAAGCTGCTGAAAATGTTTAGAATTGCATTGTTGCTTATTGCATGAGCATGTACCCTGATTTTGAGCTATTGAAAAGTTACTTCTTGTGGCTTATTTTAACTTATGTAGATCTACTTACTGGTTCAGTTAGCTTTGAAGTTCACTCACCCCAATAACTTTTCCTCCATGTATAGCTTAGCGGTGAGGTTTTCTATGGTAATTCCCAACTTACACCACATATCGGATGCCATTGAGCTAACTCGTCAAAATGATTTTTTATCTATTATAATAATCAAGATTAGGCGGATCGCTGTCGCATTCAGGGGACTAGAATTCGATTCACAGGTGGGGATAGAATGTTAATCGGTTTATCAAATATCTGGGTCTTTCTGTTGAAATAACATAGTTCCTCTCAACCTGGGTTAGCGCTGACAGCAAGGGTCTGAAACCCGCCTTCTAAATGAGTTAAATTGTATCCATAGGGGCGTAAAAATTCCTACATTTTGAAAAAAAAAGTAATGCGTAATTAATATGTGTAACCTGAAAGAGATCTGGCTCTTCTGTACCAGTCTGTATCTGCTGCGGGGCGTCGCCTGGTGCTCCCCGGATGCGTGCAGCCATCTTGAGTTGCTGTTGGTCAACAGATTTTGTCTAGATTTTCTGTTTTTGTTCTCTTTAAGAGCAATTGCGTGTATTATATTATTTTCTCTTTTATTCTCCTTCACTTTCTATCATAGCCTCCACTGATAAGAGGAAAATTGAGCCAGGCTGAACGTTCAGGTCTCGCAAATCTGTGGTCCCGTTTTCTTCTGCCTAGGAATGTTATTATTATTTGCTGCAATTAAGATCTGCTCACTTCCGTCCAGAAGCGATTGCGAGTTGCACGCACAAATCTAAATCTAGATCAATCTGCACGTAGACTTGGTTTTCTTTTTAACATTTTAGCACCCAAAGGCGATTTACTCTGGCAAGACTGTATGTTTTAATTCGTAGATGAAAAAAAAATTGCTAAGAATTAGAACCAAAGTTTAGCAGAACTCTAATGCAGTTAGTGACAATTATTAGTCTATGGAATTCGGAACAAAAGATGTCTTTTCGCAGTCGAGTACAGCTTCTTCCTCGAGGGCTTTGTCTTGAAACCACTCACGATAGGTTCTTTAGTAAACAGAAAAAGCTCACAAATCAATCACTTACAGTACGGTCAAAATCGCGGAAAAGGGGATTATTCACAGCACTTCCCGCTTGTCTCACACATTTTGCATACGCATACTGCCTCACCAATGACACTTTAAAGTGCAAAATTTGTTACAAAAAATTCATTTTATATTGAGCACATTTTTTTTCTCTTAAGGCTCTAAAAACATGCGTTCAATAAAGATAGTGTCATGACTAGAAAAAAAAGGACGGGCTTGCTTTTAAAAGCGATATTGTCCATAATTAGATGTAAACCTTGTTAAATCTGTAGAAACCATCCACTTAGATTTTTTATTCGTATTTTTAAAAGAATTTTCTAGAATACTCCCAGCAGATGTTTACAAAAATATTGATCTCTTAAGATGGATTGATTCAAGTCAGTGTGCAAAAGCCGAGGAGTCCATGTTCGATAGTTTAAGAAATATTTGACAATAAGTTGCGCAACGAAAATGTGACCACATTATAGTGAAGGACAAAGCACCACTCTCGCTAGGCTCGAGTGTGTGTGGCATCCGCCCCTTCATTTCTCTCCCTAATGATTGCAAAGTTTTATCTGACATTTTTTTTACCGTTTTGAGTTACTTACTAACTAAGACCATGAGGTCAGAAAACAATCCATCTCAAATCTGCTCCGTCAAAATCGTAAGATTGTTCGGAATTGTTATTAAAATATTCAAGGAATCGCTTTCGAAAAAGCTTGGCCTGCTGCGAAACTCTATATTTTTTACGTCAACGTTCTCAAAGCTAGGTACATGTGTTGAGCGGAAAGAGCTTTGTCTTTTTTTAGGGTAGCGACTGGTTCCAAATTGAATAAAATAGAGCGCCCCATTGTGAACCGGAATTACGTCAGAGTGCAAGTCTGTGGTCTGTGCATATCTGGTAATGAAATGAAATGGTAAACCTATCGGTTTAACGCACTTATCAACACTGTTAGGTTATCTAAGAGGCGGGACCTCGCCGAGTTTAATTAACGTCCGTCTTCGAAAGGACCGAGCAAATAAGAAATTCGTGTAAAGTGTATTTCCCTAGGACACAAAGTCAGATTGAGCGGAGGCTCGAACCCCTGGACCCCGCAGTATCACGATTACGGGTCCAGTAGACTAACCATGAGGCTACCGACGCCATGTACAATTCTCGGAGAAGAACAAAACCATTATAACGTGAAAGCACACGTCTCTAAAAGTGATATCTTTGCAATTGTCCAGAACTGCATTCAGACGTTCTGAAAAGGCGTTTCACTGTCGCGCGCAGGACACACGAAGTCGATTCCTGAGCGGGGAGAATGTTTTATTCAGTACCTCGGTCAATCTGCCGGGACGTTGTAGGCTATCCCTCTCAGCCTGGGTTGGCCCTGACAGGCAGGGTCGGAAGCCGCCCCCTAAATGATCTGAAATTGTGTCGATGGGGGAGTGATGAATGCCAAGAAACTGAAGGAATTTTGTCCTGTTTTTGTTCTTGAAAGAGATGTATGGCACTTGCAGCACAAATAGGTTATATGCCCCAAATTAGAGTAGTTAGTTTAGTTTTTTAGTAGAGGTTTTACGGTGCTCGCAACTGCATAAGGTCGTATGAGAGCCAGAAGATTAGAGGTGTTACAAGAGAGTAACAAACATAAAAAAGAAGAAAGGGAGATAAGGATGATAGATGTTCGATAGGAAAGAAGAAGACCACACCAGAGCTCCCGCCAACCACCCACATGGTCAGTTAGTGCAGGGGAAAAGTAAGGCAGACAGACAGAAAAAAACCCATAGGGGATGTAAAGAAGTAGGAGGACCTACTAATTGCGCCCTCCAACCACCCGCACGACACTTACAACACAAACAGGTCACAATATTTGTGCCCAAGATTATAGCAGGAGGTACTTGAGAGTAACACAGAGAACAAAGAAGAAAAGATAAGGACGATAAAAGTTTTTTTAGTTTTAGTCTTAGTAAGAGTTTTACGGCACTTGCAACACAATAAGGTCATGAATATAAGTGCAAAGATTAGAGGTGTTACAAGAGAGTAACAAACAGAAAAAAGAAGGGGAGATAAAGATGTTAGATGTTTGATAGATAGGAAAGAAGAAGCAAACTACACCAGAGCACCCGCCAACCACCCACGATAAATGCTTGAGTTTGATAGGACTAAAAGGAGAACAAAACACAAGAGCACTCGCTAACCACCCACACCAAAAAATCACAAACTCATAACAAACTGGTCACGGCGTGTAAAATAGGTACAATATACTTTATTATAACATATTTGTACTCGAGTTGTTATGCAATGATCCATACACAGTCATCAGAAAGACATAACATTTTGGAATCAATAATAGCTCAGCTAACAAGTGTAGGAAACAAGGTGAAAAATACAAATAAGAAAGGTAGCAAATTAACAAACACAAAGTTCTGTAGTAGTAGCCTAATCTGCATTAACAATAAATAAAATGAGGAGGTCAGGAACCGGCTAAAACAAAAACAAACCCACAAGAATGGCGTAAAATGTGCTCTCTACACGAATATCTATAATACATAGCATATTAATATTATTATTATTATAATATATATAAATCCCGCTGGTCACGATTTTAAAAATTAAATCAATTACTGGCTTTTGACTTCTGCCAATCAATTCACAACAGTGGAATGACGCTATAACTGTGTGACAACGGCATTTATCCCATTGTCATTCCCATTGTTCCAAGTTCCAACACTGGAATAATCATTCTGTGACACTCTACCACATTGTCACTCTCGATACATGTAAATATCCGACATTGGCAAAGAAAGACTCGCTAGGAACAAGCGAAATAGAGACAAATTTAAACCAGGAAAAGCAAACGAGTAATGCAAGTGAAAGAAAAGTAGCTCAAATAAATAAAAGCATAAGAGAAAGAAACAAGAGAGGGAGGGCTGGGGGAGTATTTCATTCGGTGTGTGTGTGTGTGTGTGTGTGTGTGTGTGTGTGTGTATGTGTGTGTGTGTGTGTGTGTGAGTGAGTGTGTGTGTGTGTGTGAGTGAGTGTGTGTGTGAGTGTGTGTAACAGAGAGATAGAGAGAGAGAGAGAGAGAGAGAGAGAGAGAGAGAGAGAGAGAGAGAGAGAGAGAGAGAGACAGACAGAGAGACAGACAGACAGACAGACAGAGAGACAGACAGAGAGAAATAAAGAAAGAGTAAAAACAAAATACATTTTTTGTAAAAAGGATCCAGATTCAACCGGTATCACTGAAAACAAAACACCGTTTAACAAAGAGAGTTTGAGTAATATAATAACATAATAACTTACAACAATTGCAAAGGAGGGGGGGGGAGCCTTTTGATCTGTCCAGTGTGCAGCAAGGGGGAGGATGATAAGGCAGAGGTTGGCTCAACAACAGAATAAAGGTGCTTTGGGGTGCATAAAATAATACATGGGTGTGGAGGCAGGGGGGGAGGTTTCATGGGTTAAGTGCAAGCTTGATGAGTAGAAAGAGAATTGAAGCTACATACGGTAATAATACGACAATAAAACAGACACAGAAACATACACATGCATGCATGCATGCACGCACACACACACACACACACACACACACACACACACACACACACACACGTGAAGGACACAAAGAGAATGATAGAAAGAGCAATGGAAGAGAAAAAGCAAAACAAAACGACAGAAAACCAACCCTGATGTTGACAGTTATAACTCTATTTCCCAACACGATAAATTCTTCTACTTTCACATCTCCGCTATGCAAAGAAAACCCAATTTCTTAATCAGATGCATTGTGTATGCAGTTTCTTATCCCAGTAATGTTAATGTCACCCATCTATCCTTACATTGCTCAAGCACAAAAAATGCACGGTACCGATAAATGAATAAAAGTAAAATATCTTTGGAAAAACAAAAAAGCAAAATACATGTATTGAGAAAAAAATTCAACTCCTTTTCAAGAAAAAAACCCAAAAAACCCCGATAAATTACAAGAATGAAAGCACAAATTAAAAAAAAAAAAGTACTGTTCACCGAAATTATCATACACAAATCAACCAATAACAACATTTAACGAATGAAAAAATGGATAATGAATACAGATCTCATAAAAATCAGTGTCGTTTTCACTCACAGAGAATTTTTTAAAAGACCTGTATACATGAATGAAAGACACTCAAGAACTGTCTACAGCACATCCATCTCACACTCCTGTGGTTACATAGACTACACTAAATCAGAGTAATTTTTACCCGAAAAAAAAAAAGGTTCCAATGGGTTTTTTGGGGGTTTTTTTTCAAAATAAACTGTACTTATCACTTTGAGGCCCTACCCCCACTTCCAGTAAAATGTTGCAAAGGCAGACTTGACCAGTACAGCTGAGACAAAATAGGTGCATTTATCTATGAGATGGAAAACTGAACCCAAAAAGGTCTGTGGGAGCCCACCAACACGGGTCGGGTAATCTGAAAAATATGTTTATTTGTATTGACAAAAACAGGTTAACAACAAAAAATAGGATTTTGTTTTGTTTCGAAGAGTGGTTATTCATGAAAAATCCACTAACCTAGGTGATGGTGTGTGCCATGAAAAAGTGGGTGCATTTTATCCAATGACAAAAATATGATTTATGCCAAAATTTTGCTCTCAATTCTTCATGCTTCTCATTCATACATGCATGCATCTTATACACGATAATATACAGTAGGCTATAATGAGACAATGACAACAAGAACTAAAATACAGGACATTCAGTGACTGCACTTATTATTTATTTTTCTAAATCTGTAGTTCACCATACTACTATATACCGTATTCTGATGGTTTGGGGTACTACTATACTGTTGGGCAAAAGATAAGAACATGCCTCTTGAGAATCATAATCAAGGAGTCAAGTAATTTTCCCTTTAGCAAATTGCAAAACCCAAAGCAGCATCATAAGATTTACCAGGGTTATCAAACAAATGTAGAAATACATCTGGCACACATAAAGGACTACTGCCACATCAGCTAGACACACTTATCTACACTATTGCATTTGTATGTGAGATGGTATCAAATGTCTTTTCTTCTGCTCATAATTGGAAGTGCCTCTGACA